TTTTCACTGACCCCAAACTTTTGAACGGTAGTGTATATATATATATACGCACATGCAACCGCACACACACATTTAAATGAAAAAAAAAAGTATTTTTCATATTCTACTCATGGATAAAATAATTACAATAATATATATTTTTTCAAATACATAAATTATATAAATCTATAGATAAAACATACTCAAAGTTTTTGTGTGAGGCACCAGTACATCCAAATAACCATTATAACAGACCCCCTTAGGTGGTTTGGCTTCATTTCATGATTTTAGTTAAACCAATAAACACTAAGCTAAAGACCCAAACTTAACCCTCTGGGGTCCAAGGTGTTTTTGGGGTCCTTGAGATGTTTTGACATACTCTGACATTTGTGCTTTTTTCAGTTGCTTATAAACATATTACTGGCAAAGGTGTAATTACACTCTATTTAGCACAAACAGGGCTACCATAATGTGTTATCAACATGTATGTACATTTTTGTATTTTTTAGAGAATATTGTTTATGCGTGGTTATTGAAAAAACTAAAACTTAAAGTTTCTGAAATAAGGCCACAAAACACATACTAAATATGTGTCCACAAGACTTTTGACTAATAGATGTTGTCGCCTAGAGTTTTTTCTTCAAAATGATCTGAAAATCATCCTGCCTTATCATTCACTTAAAACAATAGATTGGTTTAAATTTAAAAATGACACTTTTTGTTTGGAAAGGCAATATGCGCAGGGGTGTGACCTGCTGTGATTCACACCTGAGAAGACAATGGGCCCGCATAATGAGCGCATAATGGGGCTGCATACTAATGACCCTTTCATTCAGGTGTGTCACTGAGCCACAAGAATGACAATATACACTCACCGGCCACTTTATTAGGTACCCCATGCTAGTAACGGGTTGGACCCCCTTTTGCCTTCAGAACTGCCTCAATTCTTCGTGGCATAGATTCAACAAGGTGCTGGAAGCATTCCTCAGGGAGTTTGGTCCATATTGACATGATGGCATCACACAGTTGCCGCAGATTTGTCGGCTGCACATCCATGATGCGAATCTCCCGTTCCACCACATCCCAAAAATGCTCTATTGGGTTGAGATCTGGTGACTGTGGCGGCCATTTTAGTACAGTGAACTCATTGTCATGTTCAAGAAACCAATTTGAAATGATTAGAGCTTTGTGACATGGTGGAAGTAGCCATCAGAGGATGGGTACATGGTGGCCATAAAGGGATGGACATGGTCAGAAACAATGCTCAGGTAGGCCTTGGCATTTAAACGATGCCCAATTGGCACTAAGGGGCCTAAAGTGTGCCAGGAAAACATCCCCCACACCATTACACCACCACCACCAGCCTGCACAGTGGTAACAAGGCATGATGGTTCCATGTTCTCATTCTGTTTACGCCAAATTCTGACTCTAACATCTGAATGTCTCAACAGAAATCGAGACTCATCAGACCAGGCAACATTTTTCCAGTCTTCAACTGTTCAATTTTGGTGAGCTCTTGCAAATTGTAGCCTCTTTTTCCTATTTGTAGTGGAGATGAGTGGTACCCGGTGGAGTCTTCTGCTGTTGTAGCCCATCCGCCTCAAGGTTGTGCGTGTTGTGGCTTCACAAATGCTTTGCTGCATACCTCGGTTGTAACGAGTGGTTATTTCAGTCACTGTTGCCCTTCTATCAGCTCGAACCAGTCTGGCCATTCTCCTCTGACCTCTGGCATCAACAAGGCATTTCCGCCCACAGAACTGCCGCTCACTGGATGTTTTTTCTTTTTCGGACCATTCTCTGTAAACCCTAGAGATGGTTGTGCGTGAAAATCCCAGTAGATTAGCAGTTTCTGAAATACTCAGACCAGCCCTTCTGGCACCAACAATCATGCCACGTTCAAAGTCACTCAAATCAACTTTCTTCCCCATACTGATGCTCGGTTTGAACTGCAGGAGATTGTCTTGACCATGTCTACATGCCTAAATGCACTGAGTTGCCGCCATGTGATTGGCTGCTTAGAAATTAAGTGTTAACGAGCAGTTGGACAGGTGTACCTAATAAAGTGGCCGGTGAGTGTATATAATACAAAATTGGTTCACAGTTCCAATTATTTATTTATTTTTCAAATTGTGCTTGCAAATTGTATAATATCAAATGTAAAAATTTCTAGTAATTGTGCAGTTAATTATCATACTGTTTTTACAGAAAGTTTGGGAATATATCCCAAATGTGTCACTAATAAAACACAATACAAATAATTTGAAGAGGAGGCTTATATTGAGCTTTTAAGATTTACCTAAGATTTATTTATATGTAGCCTACATATATTTTTGCTATTTTAATAAAAAGGTTACAATTACAACAACAATTAAAATTTTAACTATATTTCAAATGTAATCTTTCTTTGTATATACTAAAGCAGGGGTTTTCAAACTTTTTGTGTGTGTGGACCACTATTTGTAATCAAGAATTTTCGCGGACCACCTCATAATACACATAATAAATATGTCTACACACAGTCCTACCTGAATTAATCTGCACCTCTAAATAGGCTTACTAGCACTAAAACTATAACTGGTCATCACATCAGTACAACAGCTTGTTAAAAGAACGTTTACTGCACACAACGGCTGCCACATATTTAATTTATTTATTTACTCAAGCGCCCGAGGGCATAATCGGGTTCATTTCAGGGATGCAAACATGTATGGTCAAAAAAGAGAGAGGTAATCGAAGCCCTCGCCCCGCGGCAAATATCCAGATACTTACATTGCCGCCAACCCCTGCCACCCCTATGGGCACATATAGTAAAATGAAATTCAAATAAAGTTTTGTCAAAAAACGTTTTATAAAAAGATAAACCTCACATATTTCAGCCTTTAAATAATTTTTCACCAAAAAGGTTTTATAAAAAGACAAACCTCACATATATCAGCCTTTAAATCATTTTTATAAAAAGAATGAGTCAAAAAAAGATAAATTACTTGCCATTTACATTGATGCACATTAGCAATCTTTTATTATTAAAAGTAAAATTCGGTCCGATTTCCCGTGCTGTCTGTCGTTGCTATGCAACCATGCACTGCGCTCTCCACAACGACAAAGAAGTTTTAGTAGCTAATAGATTTACACCATCGAAAAACGCTTGCTGTAGCTCTGCTACAAGATTTGTTTACGGAGAAGAGAAAAACACCCGTAGTGTTTGGGTGCAGCCGGTGCACCCCCATTGTTCATGTTGACTGAACTTTCAATGTTTACGGAAAGGATGAAGCTGATTGGTTTGTTCTTGTCACATGAACGGCGGTGCGTTTGCGGCATTATGAAAAGTTGAGGTGTTTTCATCTCGCTGCGCCTGGAAAAAATGAGCGCGTCGCTTCAATTATGAGCGCGCTTGCCGTGCGCCTACATGAAATAACGAACTTGAGAGCACAAACGACACGATATGTAGCCCTTGACGAGCTACCTCCAATCAGGCCACGAGCTACTGGTAGCTCGCGAGCGACGTGTTGGAGACCCCAGTAAAAGATACAGCAAGAAACACTATGGTTCACACTTGCGCGCATACTGCTGTTTTGCAGTGTTCTGATTTGCTTATTTCTTATTTACTTGTTTGGTGGAGGCAATCCAGAATTATTGTTGGTGAAATTATAATCAGACAAATATTTAATATAATGTCAAAATATTTGCCTCTGCCTCTTTTCTCTTCAGAGAACCTGTTGCTATCCACCGAAATAGGCCACTAGCCTATTTTAGTAATCACACAATAACTTGACAATTTAATTTAAATTTTATATCAATATAGGCCTACATATTCTTTTTACTTTTTTTTTATGGGAATTTCCTGTTAAAATGAAGGTAAAAAAATATTATTTTGTATTTTATTTTGCTTTTCCACGGACCACCTGCAGTACCCTCACGGACCACTAGTGGTCCGCGGACCACAGTTTGGGAACCACTGTACTAAAGTATACATTTTATCATACATATTTCACAGTTGCAGATTAATTAGTTTGAATATAGCCTACAATCGAACAAACACTATAATAACATCTTAGCAAACAAGCTTATTTGATGTGGCAGTATTTTATAGTAAAAACGACATCTTGTCTTTCATATGTAACATCGTTTTTATGATTAGGACATATAAATGTTAATTTGCAGTTTAATACGTTGCTTATACAAACATATTTTATTTCAACATATTTCAGTCGATTTTTACTCATCTCAGTATTGGAATATAGTTAGGTAAAAGCTGTTCATTCATTCACACACAAAAACGCGATTCAAACAGTCTTTTTGTTTACAGACACTATTCCATATCGCGATTAGAACAAAGCACTTGAAAATAAAGAATGTACCTATTCCTCGGCTGGATCCGTTGCTCCTCCAAATGAAACTACCTGTACTTCTGACTGAGGTAATTTTTTCCAGGATTATTATTAAGATAGTATTATTCCTCAGCGTCGTAAATATGAGTCTCTTTCGGTGGGTTATCCAGCTGATGTGAGGGCGTGGATCGCCTCCGAGCGTTTGTGTTTGAATAGAGCGCGCGCTCCGTGGGCGTGGTCAAATTAACTTTAATGAGCTGAGACGAGAACGACTATCATCTCTCTCTTTTCGTACAGATTACATAAAATGAGAAAATTTGTTTTTTATATAAATTACTTCATTTAAAAGAAGATAATTCAGGCTTCATGCCTGTGTGCCTGTATAACTGTTTGACTGAGTATTTGCAGAGTTACAGTTCATTTTTCAGAATGGACTTCACTGACAGAGAGAACGCAGAACGTGCATCATGTTTATTTTTCTTTATTAGGCGAAAAGCACAACACTTTGTTTTTATTATGAGGTTCCACAAAAAAAATACAAACTCAACAGGATCGAATGATGTACAACACTTATATGTAAGATCAAAATCAACAGAGTAATTTGAGTCTCTTTTGCACTGATAAGGAAAAAAGTGAGCTGGTATCGCCGGCGAGACCGCCGACCCCAGAGGGTTAATTGATAGTGTTTTTTTGTTAAAGTGGTTTCTTTACTGGCCTCGTCAGTTTGGAGTGTTTATACTGGAAGTACATAGCAGCCCATGACAGTCCATTGCTCTTCTTCCAGCATCTGAAGCCATCTCCAGCGTAGCCCTTCTCACACTGGCAAGTGTATGAGCCTTCTATGTTCACACAGCTGGCTTGGTGGCTGCAGTGATGGTTGCCCGTCAGACACTCATCTTTATCTGTAACGCATAAGAGAGGAAAACTCAGGTGAGAGCTGTTGATAAGCTCGCCTGTCTGTAACAATAAGGACTGGTTTGTTAATGTATTTTAGACCGATTTGACTGATTTTTTGAAACAGGCTCCTTTTCCGGAAATGAATTTTGTAAAATGTACTCAATGTGTTCGCTTTTTCTAAATCACCTCAACCCTGTGTCTTTAAAGGAACACGCCGACTTTTTGGGGCTTTAGCTTATTCACCGTATCCCCGAGAGTTAGATAAGTCCATACATACCTTTTTCATCTCAGTGCGTGCTGTAACTCTATCTGACGCACCCACCGCTAGCCTAGCTTAGCACAAAGACTGGATGTAAATGGCTCCAGCTAGCATACTGATCCACTCTGTCCAGTCTGTGCTATCGATGGGATGGCCGTATCCTTCAGCACACGTTTCATGGTCCGTGTGGCAAATTCCATTTTTTCAAAATAGTCGTCCTCAGTGAAATGTACTGACCAAACACGATGGTCCTTGATGATCTCTTCAGGTGTGTTTGGATCTAACGTTATATCCAGAGCAAGTAACTTAGCCATTGATTCATCAGGTCAGCGTTTTTGGTTGGAATTCTATGAAATTTCATGGTATTACCTGGTCTCCCCTGTTTAGTGTCGCAGCTCTTTACAATACAGCGAACACCCATGATTGTAAACTATGCTTTTACTATCTAGCAGTGTTGGGCAAGTTACTTTTAAAAAGTAATTAGTTACAGTTACTAGTTACTACTTCCAAAAAGTAACTAAATTAGTTACTCAGTTACAAATTTTAAAAGTAACTAGTTACTTAAGAAAGTAACTATTGCGTTACTTTCAAGTAAAATTAAATTTGAAATGCTCAAATGTGACCCCACCTCTACCCCTCTTTAACGGAATTAAAATACATGTGCATGTTCAATTATTTATGATAAATCTGAATATTATAATGAAATGGACACTTAATACAATACATTATTAACAGAAACATGAAACATTGTACCTAAAAAAAAAAAAAATGTTGCTGTGGGACTAAGTGAGACTACCCTCTAATCAAATGCCATGTATGTAGATATTATGTTTATATAGTGGATCAATGCAAATAACACAATAGATGTTTTGGAACTTTTGATATTTATTGCCCCTCAACAGGCCACAACTGGGCCAAATTAAATTAAGCTTGTTAAGCTCGTCGCCATACCTGTCTCTCGTTGACTGACTGGCTTGTGTTGTTCCTTGTGTGTCCTGTCCTGTCCTGTCCGACTAGGCCTATGCGTTATGATGGGTCGTTAGCAATTCATGAGCGTTAGCCGTTAGTGATGATGGGTCGTTCGCGAATGAGCTTTTGATGGGTCGTTCGCGATTCGCGAATGAGCCGACTCTAAGAGCCGGCTCTTTTAGGTGAACGTCGGGAGCTGGCTCGCATATCTGAAGACCCGACTCAATTATTTAATTTCTATAGGCTAAATTTGTAAAAAATAATGTAATAAAAATTGAAATATTATAGTCAAAGTCATTTAAAGAGCCGTTTGTGAGCCAAAAGAGCTGGCTCTTTTCAGTGAGCTAAGTCAAAAGAGCCGAATGCCCATCACTACTATGTGTGCTTTCGAACACCCGCCCAACTCTACCTCTGATTGGCTTACAATGACATTTTACTCTACCTCAGCCAATCGTCGGCATTTATGCGCTTGTCTCGTGCTCTGCCCACTAACCAAGAAAGAACAGTAAAAAAAAAGTATTTGCCTCTCGCTCAGAGATCTAGTTGGTCTGATGAAAAAAAAAACAGCTTCATCAGTTATAGTAATGCGCCGCACTTTTTGGCAGTAACGGCGTTATTAAGATGAGAAGAGTAATCAATTAGATTACTCGTTACTGGAAAAAGTAATGCCGTTAGTGTTATTCCCATCACTGCTATCTAGTAATTGCTGACTCTTACTCCAACTCTGAACGAACTCTCTGCTCCTCACAACGGTGCGTCTCAGGTGCTGCGGTAATCACTGAGTAAATGACAGAATTTTCATTTTTGGGTGGAGTATCCCTTTAACAAAAAAATGTATCCCCTTTATATTATCTTAATTATGACAGTATTATAATGATAATGCTATTTTGATGAAATACATAGAACACAATTATTTTCTTTTCATATTACCAAATGGTATTTACAATATAGCTAACTACTTAACACCATAAGTTATTTTAAAACGTCTTACTTTGATAATAGCAATTTCAGAGTTAATACATATTTTCACTTGCTATAATCTTTTTTTTTCTGACACAACCACAATATTGTCAGCTCTTTCAGCACAAACTATATATATATATTTTTTTTTATTATTTCCCTCATTTTAAAGTCATGTTAGAAGCTAGCAACACCCAAAATGACTTATGCATGCAAAATATGGTTATTTTGTCAACATCATGTTTTATAAACAATTTAATATTTTCGGTCTGATTGTGGTAACCATTCTTGATATTGATTATCATAGTAGATATTAGGGATGCACCGATCCACATTTTTTCACTTCCGATCCGATCCCGATACCTGAATTTGGATATCGGCCGATACCGATTCTATTCCGATACCAGAGCTGTGTTTGCTTTAATATTATTATCATCATTATTGTTGATTTTATATGATGCTGAAATAAACTCCTCTCAACAGGCAAGTATGATATGTACGTATCTATGTGTGTATGTCCTAAAAGGCAACTTTAGGTAAATATAAGGTCAGAAAAACAGGGAAATCCTGTTAACAGGAAAAATCCCATTCTGAAAGCAAATATGCAACTGTAAGGGTTTTAAATTGATTGTCATGTCAATATTTATTACATTCCCAAAATGTCAAATACTTGAGTCTTGAAATATAAGAAAAGTGCAAGTGTAAACATCTTACACACACAAACTATCAATAAAACAGTTTGCATCAACAGCAAAAAAACAAGTACACTGGCTCTTGTAGCATCAACAAATCAAGGTTTTAAAATGTAAAATATTAGAAATATAAGAAAAGTGCAATAGTCCAACATTTTCGTAGGCTATTCGTGATTCAGCTGCTCTGAATTGTCAAAACACCATTCAAACTCTATTAAAACTTCTTGCTACGGATGCGAAAAACGCAGATTTTTTTTTATGACGGACGAAAGTTTCAGTGGCAATATATGCAAGCGTGATTGACATAACGTGAGGTCGTATTTATTTTTTAACGTGCGAAAATTTCAGACGTGAATTTCGGACTCCGTGTGCAAGGGCCTTAACACACACACACACACGCACACACACACACTATCAATAAAACGGCTCCCGTTGTCTTTCTGCCCACTGGCTAAAAAATCCTCGTGCTCTTTAACGTGGTGCTTTTTTAAATGTTTGATTGCGTTCGTTGTGTTGACCGACGCGAGGGAGCTTCCACCTCTCTGAATTACAGCTTTGCAAACATTGCATTTTGCTGTCTTGCTCCGCGGTGTTTCCAGTGTGAAGTATTTCCACACAGCGGACATAATGCTGCTCAATGCTTTCCTGCTAGCTGGCTGCAAACTGCGGAATGGATTTTCTGAGCGGAGGCGTGTCTCATGACTCTGTGTCTATTTGAGCCGCGCCTCCGTTCAGGAAATCCATTCCACAGTTTGCAGCCAGCTAGCAGACTAGCCGGCGGGAACCAATTTTGGAGTCATTTCAGCAGACAACGTTAAAGCGCAGACATGGCTCATGGATATCGGATATCTCCGCTGGTTGGATCGGGAAAATCCGATACGTGAATTTACGCTGGTATCGGTCCCGATACCGATACTGGATCGGATCGGCCCCATCCCTAGTAGATATTACTCAATCATTCATCATTTCAGTTTATTCATTCTTTGAAGTGAATGATAGATTTGTTTATAGTTACAGTATAATCAATATTTGACATGTTATGATCCATATTAATTGATAGGCAGCCAAACACATTTTGGTGAGAACATATAAACAGCAGGAGATTGCACTCAATGGTTAATACATCTGAATATGCTGAACAAATTAACTAAAAATAATTCCTTGATAACTTGTATTTTAAATTGTGTAGCTTGTTTTGTCCCAGTACTAAAGACAAAGTGAGAAAATTAATTATCAAAAGCTAAATTTGGCCCAAAAATGGTGAATTGAGTAATGACAGATCAATTCCTAAGCATGCACACACGCACACATGCTACACTTGTCAAGCATAACCTCACATACATCAGTGTTGTGTGGGGACAATTAATATAATCAAACTGTTTGGGCTGGCATAACTTATGCATCACTTATTGTGACTAAAGTCCCATTCACACACTATGAATTATAACTGTAACATCATCTATAACCATATAGTACAAAAAATTTAATAAATAAGAAATTAAAAATATATAATTGGAATCAATTTCAGAACTTTTTTCTTCCTGCTGATGAATGACAAAAAATATACTGCCAATCAAAATTCATCCGACTTGAAAAGCATGTTTAGAATAACAGAACATTATTGTTCATTGGTGTGGACTAGTGGTCGACCGACCGACCAATTTTTAAAATATCGGCATTGGCCGATACGTTTTTCTGATTGGCTGATGTGTTGGAAGCGGGACTTTAATTTTGACGGGCAGCGCGACGGGCTGTTACCAATCAAATTAAATAATTTACATTGAAAGATTACAACTGTATTAAATGAGATTATGAGAGTGTATATTTTGAAATATTTTTTGAATATATAAATAAGGAATGTTGAAAAGAATGATACTTTGAAACTAAACCGCCAGTAGGTGGCGGCAGGCGACTGTCTTAATGAGCGAGTCATTGAGTCATTCATTCAAACAGCTGATTTATTCAGAATGAGACTGTTACGCTCCGCCAGATCTACGGACTCCGCCCATTCGTTCACTCTTCCCTGATTACTAATTCACCACACCTGTACCTCCTCACCTGTTCACTATATAACATTCACTTGCACCCCACTTCCTTGTCTGATCTTGTTTTTCCATGGACACAT